AATAACACAGTCACACAGATAACCGTACCCCAAAAGAAAAACAATTGTTAGTAAAGTAGACTATCTTGTGCATATTTTTAACTAGCTACTTTCCTTATATATAGGCTATTTATGATATTGTATATTGTATATATAATGATGAGAAAGCAAAGATTCTAACTCTTTTAATACCTCTTCAAACTTCACTTAAAAATGGTACTCTATATAATGCATCTCTTTATCGATCTTAATTGAAAAGGCAGAGTCATTAAGTAGTAGTGATCTATGCATTAACTTACCATCAATTAGCATAGCATGTTCGTAGCCACGCTGAAGAACATTGATAAATAGCAACCGCTACAACGTACAATACTGCAAAGATAGATAATTTGCAATAAGAACAAGGTCGAGCAACTGCACAGTTCGTTCCTATATAGGCATATACACGAAAAATAGGAGCAACAATAGTTTAAATTTAATTCAACAAGGACATACGGAGTACATCTTGTCATCCAGTGTAAAAAAAATTAAACTAAAATGAAAGTAGCTCTGTTAAACTACACTAACCAATAAAATACTACCTCCGTTTCTTATTATGTGCAACAAAGGGATATTATTTGTGTGACATAACATATTCCTTTGTTGCACATAATAAGAAACGAAGGTAGTAGTTAGATAAACTATATAATCTATGTTTGGACATGTTAACCAAAATAAAGTTAGTGATTCACACGATTCTCCTTCTTTGTGGATCGGTTATATTAAAATCATTTCTTGATTCATCCAATTCTTTTTGTGGAAGGGATGTCAAAGTCTTCCCTTTCGATCCTTTGCTCATCACCAAGCTCTCCACATACGTATCAAAATATGCACAATTACCTTGTAAAGAATTACTTAAGTCTTGTATTTGATGATTCGCAAAATTATAAGATCTCATGCTGAAGAAGTTATTTATCAACATTATGTTTTTGTTGTAAACATAAAGAATCATTGTAGGAGAAATCTTAGAGCAACCCTTACTTCCATCTGCGGAAAACCAAAGCCTCAATGCCTCCTTTGCACCATCCTTTTCTTGTATCCATATACGAGTGGGAGTACTTTGCAAAGACAAACTGCAAACTGCCATTGAGTAACCGAGGATGAAAACATAGCTCGAATCATTTAATTAGTTCAATCCGAGTATCCGGAATTTCCAAAGAGGTATCTTCCTCAGTATCAAAGTCAAATCGAAAAAGAGCTCCAAATGAATAATGAACTCCAACCGAATAGAAAGCACCTTGATAGAAAACACCCCTTTGCATATTATAAAGGATTTTTTTTGTGAAAAACTACCTTTTATATACAACTTTTTGTGAAAAACTACCTTTTACAAAAATTGTTGTAAATGACTACCTCTTTTTTAAAAAAAATGTTGTAAAGGACTACCACTTGCCGGAATCTGACCGTTGACTTACTTTCCCGGCGTTGACCACCCCACGTGGCGGCCTTTTCCCGTTTTCAACCACCCCCACCCCCTTCTCCTCCTCCCTTTTCTAGTTTTTCACCACCCCCTACCCCCTCGCCGTCACCTCCCCCGCCCTTGTCCAGTTTCTGACTGCTGCACTGGTTGCCCCTCCGCCTCCCTTTTCCAATTCCGACCATCCCCCACCCCCGCAATGCTCCTTTTCCCTAGCCCTCCTTACCCCTTCTTGCAGCCCTCAAACAGAATTATCAATTTCCGGCCACTCCCATCCCTACCCCCACTTCCATTATTTCCGGCGCGGCAGTCCTTTCCCTGCCAACCTCCCTTTACTGCTCATCGTTTCCCCTGAATTGAAACGCCTCCCCTTCCCCTTGATTCTTGATTTCCGGCCACCCCTCAAATAAATTATCAATTTCCAGTCAAATTTCATCCCACCTACGCATTTCTCACCCTCGAAATCCCGCCCGCCCACCCTCCTTCGACCCCCTTGAAAAAAACCAGAACCCTTCCCTTCCTTTCCTCAATTGTTTGGTATTTACAATCATTAATTTTTTTAATTTGATTGCTGCGTTATTGTTGTTAGTGTATCGTGGTTGGGATGGTGGTTAGTATGGCTGCTATTTGTAGCTTGGTGGGTGTGGTGGTGTAATTATTGGTAGCGTCAAGAGGTAAAGATGGAGAGTGGTGGTGCAGTGATGGCAGGGTAACGGAGTTAATGGTGTTGCTGTTTGAAGGTCGCGGAATTGGGGAGCGATTGAGGGTTTGTGTTTGATTTGCCGAGGTGGAGGCGGTTTCAAGTGGGGTTGGGTTGGTTTTGGGATACGTGGGGGCGGTTGTAAGGGTGTTTTGGGGTGGGTTAAGGTGTTTTGGTGGTGAGGCGGTGGTCAAGATGGCGGCATTGCTGGTGGTGCATGCATAGAAAAAAAAGAAAAATAAAATAAAGGTCATGTGACCGGCACGTGGGTGGTCAACGCCGGAAAAGTGAGTCAACGGCCAGATTCCAGCAAATTGTAGTCATTTACAACATTATTCAAAAAAGAGGTAGTCATTTACAGCAATTTTTTTAAAAGGTAGTTTTTTCACAAAAAAAATCCTATTATAAAAACATGAGCATGCCACAACGATCCCGGAAGTTGTTTTGGTCTTCCAATAGTGCCTTTAAATTAGTGAATTGCTATTTGCCACAATGAAATTACTCAAGTTATAGTATTAAATGACTTTCATGCCCCTTACAATTTTAAAAATTACCTAACAATCCAACCATTATTAACTTTGCCTTTGCTCCACCTTCACCATTAGCTCCACCACCCATACTATCACTCACCTCGACTGGTCCACCACCCGGACTCCACCTTGACTGGTCCACCACCACGACTCCACCTTGACTGGTCGACCACCACGACTCCACCTTGATTATTGGTCCACCACCACGACTCCACCTTGACCATCATACACCACGACTTTACCTTGACCACCCACGAGATATAAAATGAGTCGACGACGGTCGGCGTTCATATCGGAGGCACTTGGCGGTAACGATGAACCGACGACGCCGTCGAGTCAGGTATATGTCGGACTTTTTTTTCAATTTCCGATGTGCCCGGTTGCATGCTATATGCGACTATACCGTGGTATAGTCGTATATAGCATGCGACTACACCATGGCGTAGTCTCATATAGCATGCGACTATACCATGGTGTAGTCGCATGCTATATGCGACTATACCATGGTATAGTCGCATGCTATATGCGACTATACCGTGGTATAGTCCCATATAGCATGCGACCGGGAACCTTTATATATATATATATATATATATATATATATATATATATATATATATATATATATATATATATATATATATATATATAATTATATAATTATATAATATATATATATTAAGCAATCCGTGTAATTTATATTTATTAATTTTTGATAATTATTAAAAATAACAAAATACACTTAATTTAATTAGTAATTTTATGGCTTAATAAAAAAAATTAGTAGTTTAAATTTGAAAAAAAAAATTTATATTTGTTTTCAATTGAATTTAATTTAATTTCTAGTTAAATTTAATTTTAATTAACTTAGTATTTTTCTTTAACACTCAAATTTCAACTTGTGATTTCTTACAACCATAACGGATGGTTGTATTTGAGATGCAATCGTGGTGCAAGAGATAGGGGGAAAAATAGAGATCTTAGTGTTGCTCAACGACTAAACACAAAAATTCAACATTGCGGTTGCAAGTTTTTGATCAAGGGTTATAAAATTTCTGATGATGAAGGATGGCAGATTGTCTTGGGTCCCGATGCATATGGAAAACACAACCATGAGCTAATTGTCTATGAAGAAGGCAATCGACAAATGAGTAAGCTTAGTCCGGGTGCGAAGCAACTTGTTCGTGACCTGACCGATGCAAAAGTGAAGCCACTAAATATCTTAGCGGCTGTACGGAATCAGTTTCCTGATGATCATCCCAATCGTAGACATATTTACAACTTTAGGGATCGGTTGAGACTTGAAGATGCTGATGGTCGAGCGCTGTTACATATTTCCTTGAACTTGGTATCGAGTCGCAGTATACACATTGGAACTTGGTTGACCCGGATACGAATGTTTTGACTCATGTATTTATGGCACATCCTACCTCTCTAGCGCTCTTACGCACGTATCTGTGGGTCATTGGCATTGATTCAACTTACAAGACAAAAAAATAAAAAATGCCTTTTTTGGAGCTCATTGGTGTTACTCCTTGCAACATGAATTTCTTGATCGGGTATGCTTTTATGAAGGATGAGAGCGCTGTGAGCTATGCATGGGTGATAGATAAGTTAAAGTTGCTGGTTGGTAGTGATGTATCGCCTACGGCTATTATAACCGATTGTGAGTTGGGTTTGATGTCGCCTATTCGGGAAATATTTCCTGACACTGCTCATTTACTATGCACATGGCATATTAACAAAGATGTAGAGCATAGAGTTAAGAAAATAACGAATAATAAAGATCAAGGAAAATTTTTCAGGTTGACAAGGTGGAATCCAATTCTCAATGCCACCACATTGGATGATTATAATAGAGCGGTTCGGCAAATGGAGGGATCTTATCACTAGTAGAAAAAACATTATGGGAAGCGGTTCAAACCCCCAAATGGGAAGCGGTTCTGAACCGCATGGGTTTAGGGGGCTTCCCAATTGCCATGTAAATGACAAGCGGTTCAGAACCGCTTCCCATTTGGGGGGAATGGCAAGCGGTTTGGTGCCAAAACCGCTTGCCATTTGCACTACACGTAACATTATGTCCAGTGCAAATGGCAAGCGGTTTTGGCGCCAAACCGCTTCCCATTAGTTTTTTTTTTTTGTATATATAATAATTAATAATAATAATATTACAAGTGACCTGTTTTGATATGCACATTAATCTGTAATTTTAAAAATTATTATTATTAATATTATTATTAATTAATATTAATAATTAATAATAATTAATTAAAAATATTACAAATTTTGGAATAATAATAATTCAATAACAATAAAATGCATAATAATAATAACATATATAAAACTCATAAATAATGTATAGTACTAATTACAAATAAGTAATATAATGTACATATGGATTTAATAAAAATAAAAAAGATATAGTAACTAAATATTAATTGTTCATAAATTAAAAAAAAAAAAAATCAATCTCATTCAGTATCTAACTAACACATATATATTATATATTCTACCTAGATGCCATCAAATGTCACAAAAAAAGCCCACATGTCGCGAATTTCATCAACTTCTTCCTTTATCAAAGGGCCTTCCCTTTGAATCTTACAAACCTTTGAAAAGAAAAAAAATACCAAACATTAAACATAATCATTCATATATTACATAAAATTCAAACTAATAATTTAAAAATAATAATGTATATATGTTAAATATTTAAAACATCATTCTAACTTGCCAGATTTAGCATTCTACTAAGTTTTAGGACGGCTTTTATCAAAAATCGCCTATTTCACTACTACTTTGCCCGTTTTCTACATTTCTTATCTAATGAGCTATTTATCTATCAAAACATGTCAATTACAACTAGTCTTAGGTTTCTAATGTTTGAAATCATAGTAACTTAGCATTCTACTAAGTTTTAGGACGGCTTTTACCCGAAATCGCCTATTTCACTACTACTTTGCCCGTTTTCTACATTTCTTATCTAATGAGCTATTTATCTATCATAACATGTCAATTACAACTAGTCTTAGGTGTCTAATGTTTGAAATCATAGCAACTTAGCATTCTACTAAGTTTTAGGACGGCTTTTACCAAAAATCGCCTATTTCACTACTACTTTGCCCGTTTTCTACATTTCTTATCTAATGAGCTATTTATCTATTATAACATGTCAATTACAACTAGTATTAGGTGTCTAAGGTTTGAAATCATAGCAAATTAGCATTCTACTAAGTTTTAGGACGGCTTTTACTCGAAATCGCCTATTTCACTACTACTTTGCCTGTTTTTTACATTTCTTATCTAATGAGATATTTATCTATCATAACATGTCAATTACAACTAGTATTAGGTGTCTAATGTTTGAAATCATAGCAAATTAGCATTCTACTAAGTTTTAGGACGGCTTTTACCCGAAATCGCCTATTTCACTACTACTTTGCCCGTTTTCTACATTTCTTATCTAATGAGCTACTTATCTATCATAACATGTCAATTACAACTATTCTTAGTTGTCTAATGTTTGAAATCATAGCAAATTAGCATTCTACTAAGTTTTAGGACGGCTTTTACCCGAAATCGCCTATTTCACTACTACTTTGCCCGTTTTCTACATTTCTTATCTAATGAGCTACTTATCTATCATAACATGTCAATTACAACTAGTCTTAGGTGTCTAATGATTGAAATCATAGCAACTTAGCATTCTACTAAGTTTTAGGACGGCTTTTACCCGAAATCGCCTATTTCACTACTACTTTGCCCGTTTTCCACATTTCTTATCTAATGAGCTATTTATCTATCATAACATGTCAATTAAAACTAGTCTTAGGTGTCTAAGGTTTGAAATCATAGCAAATTAGCATTCTACTAAGTTTTAGGACGGCTTTTACCCGAAATTGCCTATTTCACTACTACTTTGCCCGTTTTTTACATTTCTTATCTAATGAAATATTTATCTATCATAACATGTCAATTAAAACTATTCTTAGGAGTCTAATGTTTGAAAACATAGCAAATTAGCATTCTACTAACTTTTAGGACGGTTTTATCCGAAATCGCCTATTTCACCACTACTTTCCCCGTTTTCTACATTTCTTATCTAATGAGCTATTTATCTATCATAACATGTAAATTACAACTAGTCTTAGGTTTCTAATGTTTGAAATCATAGCAACTTAGCATTCTACTAAGTTTTAGGACGGATTTTACCCGAAATCGCCTATTTCATTACTACTTTGCCTGTTTTTTACATTTCTTATCTAATGAGCTATTTATCTATCATAACATGTCAATTACAACTAGTATTAGGTGTCTAATGTTTGAAATCATAGAAAATTAGCATTCTACTAAGTTTTAGGACGGCTTTTACCCGAAATCACCTATTTCACCACTACTTATTCCGTTTACTACATTTTTTATCTAATTAGCTATTTATCTATCATAACATGTCAATTACAACTAGTCTTAGGTGTCTAATGTTTGAAATCATAGCAAATTAGCATTCTACTAAGTTTTAGGACGGCTTTTACCCGAAATCGCCTATTTCACTACTACTTTCCCCGTTTTCTACATTTCTTATCTAATGAGTTATTTATCTATCATAACATGTCAATTACAACTAGTCTTAGGTGTCTAATGTTTGAAATCATAGCAACTTAGCATTCTACTAAGTTTTAGGACGACTTTTACCCGAAATCGCCTATTTCACCTCTACTTTGCCCGTTTTTTACATTTCTTATCTAAAGAGCTATTTATCTATCATAACATGTTAATTACAACTAGTCTTAGGTGTCTAATGTTTGAAATCATAGCAAATTAGCATTTTACTAAGTTTTAGGACGACTTTTACCCGAACTCGCCTATTTCACTACTACTTTGCCCGTTTTCTACATTTCTTATCTAATGAGCTATTTATCTATCATAACATGTCAATTACAACTAGTATTAGGTGTCTAATGTTTGAAATCATAGCAACTTAGCATTCTACTAAGTTTTACGACGGGTTTTACCAAAAGTCGCATATTCCACTTCTACTTGCCCGTTTTTTACATTTTTTTTCCGTTTGGAATTTTTTTTTTCACAAACATTGTTGCCCATAATACACTAACAATGCAAGTACGCAAAAATTACACAAAATTGCATGAGCTGCTCGGTTCTTGAACGGCTGCAGCTACCTTGGGTGCTGCCTGGGCTGCTGCAGCTGCCTGTGCAGCTGCCTGGTGGCTTCTGCAGCTGCCTGGTGGCTGCTTCAGCTGCCTGGTGGCTGTTGCAGCTGCCTGGTAGCTGCTTCATCTTCCTGGTGGCTGCTTCAGCTGCCTGGTGGCTGCTGCAGCTGCCTGTACAGCTCTTAGGCTGCTGCTGCAGTGGCTTGTGCATCGGCCTAGCTGATGCTGCGGCTGCCTGTGCAGCTGCCTAGGCTGCAGCAGCTGATGCCTGGGCAGCTGCCTAGGCTGCTGCTGTGGCTGCCTGGCAGCTGTTGCAGTTTGGTGGTAGGCAGCTTGCAGCTGCCTGGCATAACCCGAGGCAGTTGCCTCAGGTGCTCACTTTCCCATTTTCTGCATTTTGTATCAAATGACCTAATGGCTTTAGAGCAGACCCATATTAAGTATTCTTGGTTGTCTAAGGTCTGTAAGCGCATCAGAAGAAGGTTTTACTAAGTATTTGGACGGCTTATACCCAAAATCGCCTATTTGACTTCTACTTTGCCCGATTTCTGCATTTCTTATCTAATGAGCTATTTCTTTATCATAACATGTCAATTATTACTAGTCTTAGGTGTCTGATGTTTTAAATCATAGCAAATTAGCATTCAACTAAGTTTTAGGACGGCTTATACCCAAAATCGCCTATTTGACTTCTACTTTGCCCGATTTCTACATTTCTTATCTAATGAGCTATTTCTTTATCATAACATGTCAATTACAACTAGTATTAGGTGTCTAATGTTTGAAATCATAGCAAATTAGCATTCAACTAAGTTTTAGGACGGCTTATACCCAAAATCGCCTATTTGACTTCTACTTTGCCCGATTTCTACATTTCTTATCTAATGAGCTATTTCTTTATCATAACATGTCAATTACAACTGGTCTTAGGTGTCTAATGTTTGGAATCATAGCAAATTAGCATTATACTTAGTTTTAGGACGGCTTTTACCCGAAATCGAACCGGAAAAAAGTAAAAATAAGTACCTCCTCAATGTGTTGGGCTTCAGTGCACCTATTGACTATGTCATGGATAAACCTCATCACATAGAGGGCACAGTCAACGCCGTTGTCTTGTTCCGCACACTAACATGACACAAAGTTAAAATAATCATGCATAGCCATAACTCAAGGAAATTTTATTAAATAAATCAGTATATCAAGGCTTTACCTTCGCATATTTCCACGTGGGACCCGCAACCGAACGACAATTCAACTTCTTCATAACACTTCAAAAAAATAAAAAAACAAACGATTTAGGAACATAGCCACTCAATCACTTAGGTGATGATACAAAACAATATATAGGAAGCGGTATGTACCTATTCAATAGGTTATTCACTAGCAACTTCCTTGGTGGCCATATACGAGCCGAGTCAAAGTAGTAGATTGTGTTATTGGAAACACAAATCACCATAAGGCTCCAATGTAGACTACATGTATATTAAAGCAAATATAAATCCATTAATTGTTATGCGTCAACATCTATACTTAACAAACAAATTAAGAGTGACACATTTAAACTTACTCCTCAAAACAAGGGGCTAATAAGAACTTGTTTCCCGCACGCATTGATTCTCTAATACCCCGCTCAAGGTAATCTATCACATCATGTGGGTTATGCAAGCATTTGGTTACGGAGGTCTGCTCGGGGCATAACCACCCAACTGCTGCTTCACCATCGGGTTTACTAGCAAGGAGCTCCTGTAGTGACCTTCAAGAAAGTAATGTGTGCAAGTAATTACTAGTTTCATTGTTTTGGTATGAAAATATCAAAAATACAATATGTTTAGAAATAGTCTCGTTAATTTACCTCATGAAAGTTTGAATGATGGAAATGTTAAGCATGGAACCGGTTAGAAATTCCGTCACATCCTCTCTAGAAATGTATGCGAGCGCATCCTCATCATAGTGGAACAATTCCTTAGGCAAGTTCACTTGAATGTGTGTACCCGTAGGCAACTCACTAACACGGTTGTGAAGAAAATTACATGCTTTCGAAAGCGACCTAAGGACATTGGCTTGTACGAGTGGAGTACATGAAGCTCTCGAACTCTTCTTCGACATTTGTCCTTGTTCCATATTCGGAGGACCTTCTTCCTTGGATTTTGGCTTCTCCACCTTCTTCCTTTTAGCGGACTGAATTTCCATAGTAATATAGTAGCATAAAAGAACATGGTCATTTCACAAAGCACATGGTAATCTAGTTACATACAAGTATTTACATACAAGTAGTGTTTACTTACCCCTCCTACCAACCTCAACCGATCACGTGGCTATTGCACAAAGCTCCCGGTCGCGTCACGCAGCTTAAAAAAATCATATTCCTCTCTAGGCACCGGTAGTGGTAAGTCCTCAAACCCAACAACTATAGAATCGATCTCGACCGAGATGGGGTGCTATTATTAGACTTAAAATGGACCTTGTCAAAAGGTTGTGCACTACCATACCCCACCAACTGCAACTGTCCACCGGTGTTTTCCCCGGGGTGAAAAAGCTCACAAGGCGTCTCTTCCTACATATTTGGTTAGGAGTTAGGACATAAGTTAAGAAATAACAAACGAAAGACTAACATAAGAAAAGCTAATTACGTAGTGAAGTTCACCTTAACATCTGGGAAAGGTTCAGACATCAGATTTGCTCTCTTAAGTGACTCTGCATCCATAAGACTAGGATCCTGCAAAAGTAAAATAATTAAACATGCAAACGACCTCATTAGACGAACTTCTTATGACGTAATTCGTAGTTGTACTAAAATTACCTCTCTCTTAACTTCTGGATCGTCCTCGGGGCCTCATGGGTGACTACATGAGTCTACTGGGGTACTTGAGGGAAATGGAAAAGGCGGAAAGTTCATGTGCTTCGGAATGGCATTGAATTGACTTTGTATCTGTTCTTGCAGCTCCGCGCGTATCTCCACCTTAATTGATTCCTTTTCCTTCTCATCAATCCGATGTGGCGAATAAACACTTGATCTGCTTTATGCTGATTTGGTGTATTCTGAACCCATCACCTTCTCCCACCCTAGTTGTTTCCCGCCAAAACCAATTACTCGCCCATGGTGGTATGGTTTTCCCAAAGCTAAGGTGAAAGGATCATGTTCGATGCTTGGAGTCAGCTTGCCTTCAATCACTTCCGAAGTATGCTTGAGCTTTAACAACACAAAAATTTATCAGATCTAAGTACAATGTACTTGACAAGGAAATATAATTAATAAGTAGAAAAATTTGCTTACAATTGCATCTGCTACAACTTTCTTATCCGGTGGCATGACATACTTGCCGGTTTCCTTGTCCATCCCATGCATAGCACACCACCAGTCAATTGCACGATTAACCAAAGTTGTGACCGTGGAAGAAAGTGGTTTATCAGTTGATGACATTATGGATTTGGGGTATAGACCCGCTTTGACCCACTTTGGTCTTGACTCCGCAAAGGTCTTACAACCCATATGATGGCTATACAATTTATTTCCGGCATTGATTCTAGCTTGTTCGCTTTTTCCTACACATTTAGAAATATATGTTAGCATCAGTCATTGTAAGAAACTAAATGTGAGTAGCCGACTCTATTGATAAATAAAAACATACAAGTGCGGTCCTAGTGGAAGACTTTTCCACAAACTTCTCCCAATCATCCACCGTTATTTGTGAATATAAATCACACGGTTTCTTATCAGGTTTCTCTTCTTCTCCATCTGCAGGCACATTTTTCTTTGGTCTTCTCTTTCTTCTCTTATGGATCCATCTCGTCCTCAAGTAACTCTTGAAGTTTTTGAATCTCTCTTGTACAAAAGCTTCAAAGACTTTTCTCTTGGTCGGCTCATCAGGAATATGGAACATACTCTGTAATTGGCGCAAACATCCACGTTAGGCAAGAGAAAAAAAAATGAAAAAAAAGTGGAAAAAAAAAACCCAGGAATCGGGCAAGGCAGCAGCCGAGGCAGCTGCAGCAACCCAGGCTACTGCCCAGGCAGCTGCAGCACCCAGGAAGCAGCCCCGCAGCTGCAGCACCAAGGAAGCAGCCCCGCAACTGCAGCACCCAGGCAGCAGCCGAGGCAGCTGCAGCAGCCCCGGGCAGCTACAGCACCGAGGCAGCAGCCCCGGGCAGCTGCCGGCTGCAGCCCTCGGGTTAGGCACGGGGGAGGTTTATGCAATTTTTTTTTTTGGCAAGATATATATGAATTTATAAGAAAAGTGTGATTGAAATAAATACTTACCATAGTATCGTCCCAAAATTTTTGAAGCAACCCGTGAGGTATATCGGCAAACTCAAGTGTGATTGGTATTTTACGAGTTAGAATGCCAACTTGACTAGAAAATTTGTCGCGCCATTGGCCAGTAGGTTGACCTAACTCATCAAACTCAAGCACCATAGGAACGCCGGGTTTCTTGAAAGCTTTAGTAGCACCCCTACTCTTTCTGTTCACCGGTGGCTTTACCCCTCCTCCACCACCGGTTTTTTTCACTTGCCTTTGCATTTGAGTTTCACAATGTGAATCACTTACAACTTCGGTAACCACATTATCATCAATAGGTGGGGCAGTTTCAGCTATACGCTCAAATTCATCAAGCTTATGTTAGAACTCGTCATAAGCTTGGTCTTCCGGTTCCCCCATATCCGTCTCCTTATTAACATCATACAACTCGTCACCATCATCATCATCATCCATATCCTCATCGGAATGAAGGTTCTCATCAGGATCCATGATATGTGCACACCTACAGTAAACAAGCAAAGCATGTTGTTAGTCATCAGTAATGGCAATCAAATCTGAGGCACGAAGAAAGACAAACACTTACCCAACTTCTTTGGTTTCATAACAAATTCACATATAATCCTCTAAACAATTCATTTATTTAGTTCATATTACATGCTTATACGTTGAAAGTACAAAAAAATAAAACACTTCCCGAAATAAACAAAGTTGTTGGAGCATAAGATATTTAGTAAATAAAACTGCATTAATAAAAGTACCTCATTTGTGTATTTCCTCATTGTGGTCAGATCGAATATAAGATCTATCATCATCTACATCAGTTGCTACATCAAGTGTAGGAGCAGTGAAAGGGGGAGAATCATCAAATGCATCATATTCTTCCTCGTCCTCAACCTCTCCAACCCCTAATATTCTCCTTTTGCCAGCCAGGACGATGGACCATCTTGGATCGGACGGGTCAGTTACATAGAACACTTGCTTAGCTTGAGATGCAAGGATGAATGGTTCAAGACTATCCCGCAAGTGGCCAAGATCTACAAGAGTGAAGTCATCATTTCTCACGTTGCGCCTATTATTATCGACCCATTTACACTTGAATAGACCAACCTTGAAGTCACGGTAATCTAGTTCCCATATTTCCTGAATTCGTCCATAGTATGATAATAGTGCGTCAACTGGTGATGTATCCTTCGCACTTGCAAACTCTCTTGATGAAGCCACAAGAGTGACACCACTATTTTGAGTCGATGAGGATTTCTGATCCCGACTTTCAGTCCAAAATGTGTACCCATTTATATCATATCCCTCAAATGAATGAACATCTTCCTTTGGACCATAAGCTAGCCACTTTATTGTATCAGACACAGTCTCATCCAATTGACGCATCACACGATCATGGAACCACATCACAAACATCTTATTATGCAACTGCATTAGGTCTCTTTCCCCTTTTGATGGATATTCAACACGCAAACTATCCATGTGCACTTCTAAATATGGGTGAACCTCCGCAATATGATGAAGCACAAATAGGTGAGCTTGCATGATTTGATCTCGAGCAGCCCAGATCCTTTTTGACCCGATTGTGCCATGACCATCAAGTCTCCCTTCATGTCGGGAAGTGGGAAGCCCAATAGGTTCAGCAACGGCAACATACTCTGCCACGAAATTCCCAATCTCCTCGGACACAATTCCTTGTATCATACTGCCTTCCGGATGGGCAGGATTTCTTACTTTATCTTGCAGTGTAGCCATGTGTCGTTCAAAAGGGTAGCACCACCTCATAAATACTGGACCGCATAACTTAATCTCACGAAGCAAATGCAGAATTAAATGCACCATTATGTCAAAAAGTGAAGGTGGGAACAACATCTCAAATTTGCACAAAGTTACCACAACAGTCGCCTGGAGAGCATCAAGTGTAAAGGGATCAAGAACTTTGCTGCATATATTATTGAAAAGCCCACAGAGGCTTGTTATAACTTCTCTCACGTGCTTTGGTAAAATACCACGAAGTGCAATCGGTAGAAAAACTTGCATCATCATGTGACAATCATGGGATTTCATACTAGTCAACTTCAATTCTCTATTTAAGGAAACAAACCTTTTCATGTTTGTCGAGAACCCAGATGGAAGCTTAATGTCATACAAACAAGCACAAAACCTCTGTTTTTCTTCCTTTGATAATGTGTAGCAAGCTGGAGGTAAATACACCTTTTGGTTCTTTCCTTTTCCATCACCTTTCTTCTTTGCGATACCCGCGGCCTTTTTCTTGCGCTTCCCCTTACGGTTTTGACCACCATCTTCGTTTCCCTTTTCCTTAACCTTCGCCATCCCTACCTTAGCTTGAACCCACAACTCCGGACGAACACCCCACTCTTGCAAATCTAACCGCGCACTCTTGACATCCTTCGTTTTTCCAGGAATGTTCATAATTGTCCCCAGAATTGCATCACAAACATTCTTCTCTATATGCATCACATCGAGACAATGTCTAACATCATGTTCTTTCCAGTACTGAAGCTTCCAAAAGATTGATTCCTTTTTAAAGAGAGCGTGTGGGTCAATTGGTTTCGTTGTTTTACCAAAAACACATGGAATACCCTTCACTCTCTCATAAACCTCCTTTCCACTCAATGGCCTAGGCAACCCCCTCCTCAACTTTCCTATCGAAAGCCTTTTTCTGCTTACGATACGGGTGATCGCGCCTAAGAAATCTTCGGGTCCTCACGTACACATCTTTGCCATAGTGGTCAAGGTACACGTTTGGTGTGTCATTAATACAAATGGGACATGCTTTATGCCCTTTGTTCTTGTACCCGGACAGATTGCCATATGCAGGAAAATCATTGATGGTCCACATAAGGGCAGCACGCAAAAGAAACATCTCGTTCTTATGGGCATCATAAACGGTAACACCTTCATCCCACATCTTTCTCAAATCATCAATAAGGGGCTCAAGGTAAACATCAATGTCGTTTCCAGGTTGCCTTGGCCCCGTTATCAAAAGTGAAAGCATTATCTATTTCCGTTTCATACACAACCATGGAGGCAAGTTGTAAATCACTAAAAGTACCGGCCATGTGCTGTGTTTAGTACTAAGAGTGCCAAATGGATTCATACCGTCCGTGCACAACCCAAGCCATAAATTTCTGACTTCACCACCATATGCCTTAAACTTCATATCGATGTTCTTCCATTGTGGAGAGTCAGCAGGATGCTTCAACAAACCATTTTTCTTTCTTCCCTCAGCATGCCATCTCAGGTTCTTGGCGTCTTTTGGTATTGAA